CCTGCTACATGCCATGGTTTCTTTCTCTGACCCCCTAAGCCAATGCTGTGTACTGTGAGTCCTGTAATCACATAGGAGCTGTCATTTAATTATTTAGTAGGCAGGACTCCGGCCCTCCAGCTGTGGTGCAACTACAAACCCCATGTGGCATTGCAAGACTGACACATGACACCAAGAGGTAGATGCATGATGGGATTTTGTAGTTTCACCACTACTGGAGGGTCGGCGTTTGCCTACCCCTGCAAGACCTGACTTGGTCTCTTCACCTGAAGCCTGTGTGGAGTGGACAAGGCCTAACTATTGAAGACAGAGACAGCTGGCCATGCAGAATGAGGCCAACAATGGCAGATTTCCTTTAGTCCAAAACTCTTTTGTTAGCAAAATCCAACTTCCCGTCTGAATCTATAATTGTAGTTCATATTTATCCTTATGTATAATATTTGATGCTGTATAGATGTGAATGTTATATCTTCTTTAAAGCCCCTGCAATGTGCTTCACAGATCTGGATAACTAGAGCCATACAAGGGCATTAATCCATTGCAGTGGTTGTGGACAGGAAGAGAGTTAAACAATCCCATTCCAGCAATCAGTCATGCTACAACTACAAAAGTGAAATGGCTGGCAAGCATTTTTCTGATTAAAAAAAAAAAAAGCCGGACTCATTTAGTTGTCACCCTGACCAACTCGAGCTGCCGCTCACTAGCTGCTGGGGCATGAAATAAGATGCCACAAAGCCTTGTGCAGGGGTTAGATGAGCAATGTGTCTTGAAGGCCAGGATTCTAGGGCCAATACTGCTGTTAATAAAGAGATTTGTCTTCATTTGGCAGCCCTGTCGAAATCAGGATGAGTATTTGGAAGGCGTGTGTATGGGGAGGAGAGGGAGGGTGGCGGCGTTGAATCATTGGTTTCCTACAATAGACTAAGACGTCCTGATCTTCATGTAGACAATAGTGATTTAGCCTCCCCATAGACGTTTGAATGTACGAAAAAAGCTTAGCTTGGACAATTGTGATCCCCAAGGCACTGACATACATTAGAGTCTGCCATGTAAAATATTCTTCAAGGCTTACACCGTGTTGGGCTGGAGCAGTCTGATTTTCACAGAAGAGGCCATAAAAACTGAATATCAGGCAGATATGTCACCATTACATCTAGTTATGTATTTATGAATATATCTTTATACTAAATGCACCTTATGGTCAAAAATACCCAAACTCTCATTATCTGTGTCTTCAGAAATACCGTTGCGTAGCAAAAATTAGACTAACTCTGATCTAATATGGTGCAGGAGTCAGGCCATGGCTGCTACTAGGGATGCACGGATACTGTTTTTTCGGTATCGATTTTTTTTTTTTCCCCCCCGGTACTCGCTGATACTAAGTACCATGTGTCCCGATTATAAGGCTCCTGACTGCCTGTGAAGCCGGTGTTCTAGCAAAAGACTGCCATCTTCACTTGCGGGGCTGCCTGGCTTCTTGACCAATCAGGAAGTCGAGCGGCGAGTCCTGAGGTGCCATCCAGCTTCCTGAATGGTCAGGAAGCCAGGCTGCCTAGCCCTAAATAAAGCCAGCTTCCTAGCCAATCAGGAAGCCGGGCAGCACATCATGACCCGCAATCCTGCTTTGCTAGGAAGCTGAAACACGAGTCATGACGTGCCACCCGGCTTCCTGATTGGTTAAGAAGCCAGGCTGCCTACCAACAAGTGAAGCTGACTTCGTAGCCAATCAGGGAGCGTCATGACCCGCCTGCCGGCATCCCGATGGCTAGGAAGCTGGCTTTACTTATCCCTAGGCAGCCTTGCTTCCTGACCAATCAGAGGTAAGTATTGGAGCATTTGGGCAAGTAGGAGTACTCGCCCAAATAGTATCAGTATTCACACAGGTGTTTTTCATTGTAACAGAATCCCTTTAAATCAAGAAAAGCCCACACAGGAAAGAATAAGAGACCACATGCTGGTATCTTATGACCATGTATCACAACAGTCTTCCTTCCATTGTTATCAGATAGGTGGAATAACAATCACAAATCAAACCTGTGCCAGAAGCGTTCTCCAAGCGAGAGTTCTGTCCTGATGCCTGCTGAGGTCCAACTGATGAAAGCAAAAACTGCAGAAGTTGGATGCACATAGCACTTCCATTCTTTTGCGTAAACCACAGCACTAGAGAGCATGGTCATATTTCAGGCCTTTCATCAGATCCAGTTAACTGATGGAGGGCCAAGCAGGCCCAGATACAGTGTCTGCACCATCAAAAAACTAAAGAATTTTCTGAAGATGAACAACCTCCTGGAATATCTGGCTGTTCTTCTGATCCTGACATTTTAGTGACATGCACATGAGGAAAGGCAAAGCCAGGGCAATTGTCCTTATCTGCATACATGTTCCCAGTTAGAGCCTTGGCATTGACACATGACTGCCAGGGAACATGCATTTTCAAAAGAGATCAGCAATGGCAGCAGCTCATAAGGTTTTTCTTTAATTCACTCTGGTGCCCCACATACATTTCAATTCTAGCTTGTATGTGGATTTGGTGAAGATCATCTGTTGACTAGGTTTACCTTTATGTTGTGTCCCTGCTGATATATTTAAAGTGAACCTGTGACCAGATAATGCACACTTAAGTATGTATTTATTCTGAACGAGTAGTAAAAGCCCTTTATAATAAGCCCTCATTCATCACTGTACCTATAAGCATTGTGGAGAAATTCATTTTCAAAGTTAACATGATAGATATAGGCTATGTCTTAGCCTTTATTCCATGGAGTAGGGGTACTCAACCTGGGTGACCTCAGGACCCACATTTGTCCTTGGTCATTAAGTTGCATCACACAGCATTGCGGTACCGCAAGTTCCAGCACAGGCAATTGAACTGTGGGTGGGAGGTGTGTTTGGGGTGCCATTCAAATGAATGGAAACGCAAAGCAGCACTTGCACAGCGATTGCATGTACAGAACGTTAATCGCACAGGACTGTGAATAACACACTGTACTAGTGCAAACAGGCCCTCCAAAACACAGACAAAATCTCACACACATACACAAACTCAAACTGTGGGCTGCTGTGCTGTGACAGAGCTCCATTCATATGTGCATTGCTTGTACAGCTCCCTTGCGCACCCTCTAGAGGTGCCGGGAGCCAGAATGTGATATCACTCCAGGCACCTCTACAGGGCACGCTATGGAGCTATAAGCAGTGTACATATGGCTGGAGGTCCAGCACGGCCATACTCCCAACACACCTCAATCTGACACAGGCAGCATATTTTGAATGGATGCTCGGCCCAAGAACTGACAGCGCTGCACTAAGGGTGAGTCCAAGGATCTTCTCTCCTAGCACAGTGGAAGACATGCGGTGAGCCCACCCGTTGAGAACCATAGCTATAGAACACGGATCTAGGCAGGATGCCAACCATGTAATGTAAAACAACAAGTAGGTGTTTCTAAGCTATCAGAAAGGACTAAAACCCAAAAAGGGCAGAGTTTTTGTAGTTACCTTTGAGAATGAAAAACGTTACATTAAAAGCAGCTAGAGGTCAGAAATGGTTGGTTTAAAAGCTCTTTTACTGCTTGTTAAAATATATACTGTTTAAGGGCCATAGCCTGGGCACACGTGCACCTTAAATGATCTAGTGCCAAGTCCGATAGCTCTTTTTTTTTTAAAGAGGATCAAGAACTGAATTCCTCAGAAAATGTTTGCATATAAAAAAAATTACGCTACAATTGCATCAATATTTTCTTCTTCATAGATGGAGGTTCAATAATCACATTGCTCTTACATTCTCAAACATAGAGATGGTTTTTGCAGCTGCTTCAGTCAGAGTTAAAACAATGCATTTCGTTTTAATAATACAATAATTGTCATGGGTGCCCTAAAAGAATTATAAAAAAAAAAAAAAAAAAAAAAAAAAAAAACCTAAACTTAAATGGGAATGGACACGACAAAG